TTAGGGGAAGGACTTTAAAATAAGTAACCCTGCAAAATGATTCTTCAAGGAGGTATGCTTGCAGCTTAAATTAGTATTGATGGCATTGAGTCTTGTATCAAATTGCAATTTAGTGTCAACTTTTGGAAAAGCATTAACGTAAAACAACACACAAGGGAGAATACTTGGAAAGCAAACACACTTTGTAGAGGAAGACTTAATTATCATATTGATTCTACGTTAAGTTTATTCAGTTTCAATCAATAATTACAGTGATAGTAATTACCAGGTGCTTTACTCTTTTGTGTATATGTCTAATCAGACAAAGTTTATTGGTTGGAATCCCCAATGGGTCAGTTAGTATAATGTTAGCTCTCAACTTCTGTTCTCAGGAGATTGCTGGAATGTCTACTCATCCTCCCCAGGAAAATAGAGGTTGGGTGAAGTCTTGAATCAAACATTGTAAGTAGAAGTCTGTGATATTATAATATATTTATTACCCCCCCAAATGCTAGCATTTTTGAATTTTTATCTTATTTATCTAGACTGAGTTTTGCTTATTAGTAAACTTGTATGTGGGCCACTTAAAATATGATTCCAGCTTTTCTGGAAGTTTTTCATCCTTGCACAAAGTGAGGTGAAGAATACCCAGAGATGGTAGTTGAATTTGTTCTGACTCTGTTTAGCCCTGCTTCACATTGTAGCCTGGGCTTGCAATCACTGCTGAGAGCTGTGAACCCCCAACAAGGATTTTCTAGATGGGAGAACGTGGAGACGTCCCCACTTCCCCCTACCTCCCTCCACCCCCTGCCTCAAATTTCTTACTCCCAGGTGAAGAGACTGTTGGCTTATTTTATAGAAAGGTCACTAGCACAGCTGGACTTGAAATACAGAGGTCCTGACTCTAAGTTCTATATTTAATTTTGTCTTTTTAAAATTTTATTTTTAGTTTACATGTTTTAAGTTTAGTCAGAGGCTGGGAAAATGAATATTATGCCTGGATAAGTCTCACGGGGACTGCTCCAGCTGGCTTTGAACTGCGATCCTCGGATCTCAGCCTCCTGAGTATCTAGGATTATAGACGTGAGCCACCTATTTCTTTGAATTGTTTTATTAGCAATGTCGGACCATTGGTGACTGCAGGCATAATTATGAATACATTTTTATTTAAGTTTTGGAACTTTGCATAGGGTTTCTTTTTGTGGAGATGGTATTAGGATTTGAACTCAGGGCCTTGTGCTTGCTAGACAGATGTTCTACCACGTGACCCATACTCCCAATCACAGTTATTTTTTTGAACAGGTCTCACATTTATTCTTGGGCCAGCCTGGACCTCAACCCTCCTGTTTCATGTAGCTGGGATGACAGGTATACGCCACCATGCCAAGTTTTTTTGTTGGTTGAAATGAGAGTCTTGTGAATTTTTTTTTTCTTGGACTGGTTTTGGAGTATAATCCTCCAGATCTCTACCTCCTGAGTAGCTGTGATTACAGGTATGACCTATCATACCCAACTGGCACAGGATGGCTCAGTACTCAATGTTCTTATGTCATTAATCTTATTTACCCAAACCTCACAGGTGAGGCCCAGAACATCAACATATTATAGAGACTCTCATCCATACCATCATTTACCTTAGAAAGGATTGAGGATTGAGAGTGTGTGATTTCTGGTCTTTTGTCAGTACTGAACTTTGAACTCAGTATTCCGTGCTTGATGGTTGAGTTGTTGAGGGAAAGGAGATAGGGCTCCTCCTTAGTACTATCTGAGATCACGGCAAAAAGGGATGAATGAAAGAGAATATACAATGAATTGTTTGGAAGTACCTGTTTTGGGGGTTTAGATGGTGGTGGTAGAGATTTGGCCTATTGAAAGACAGTATAAAACCAGGTGCCAGTGGGCTGGCTTATGCCTGTAATCTTATCTTCTCTTGAGGCTGAGATCTGAGGATCATGAATTAAAGCCAGCCCTGGCAGGAAAATCTGTGAGACTGTTGTCTCCAATAACTGCCAAAAATCCAGAAGTGGAGCTGTGGCTCAGGTGGTCGAGTGCTAGTTTTGCACAGAAAAGCTCAGAAACGGCACCCAGGCCCTGAGTTCAAGGCCTAGGACTGGTACATATACAAAAAAGGCAATATGAAGATACTGGGTGCCCTGGGCAGAGGTCAGCCAGGGGAGGAGAGGAAATGGAGAAAGGGGAAGAGGATGTGCAATGAAGGTGTCTCTTTCTACAGGATCTTATGCAACATCTTCCTTCTTAACACAAATTTGATTTAAAGACGTATGTTTTCTCTAGGAACGAGCAGATAACGTGAATACACATAGTTATTTAATTTTGTGTGAATGTTAAAAAGTACTTTCTTATTGAAGACAGTTTCCTAGGGGAGGAAATGTTCTCTGTGTGTTAAGGAGGGTTTCTTTTTACTTATTACCTATGTAAGGTTTGAATGGATCATGTCATCTCTTCAACTTTGGTTCCTCCTCCTCCTCCTCCTCCTCCTCTTCCTCCTCCTCCTCTTCCTCCTCTTCCTTCTCCTTCCTCTTTCTCTCCCTCTCCCTCTTTTTCTCCCCCTCCCTCTCCCTCTCCTTCTTCCTTCTTTTTTTGGTGATACTGGGGTTTGAACTCAGGGCATTGTGATTGTCTGCATTGGGATAGGGTCTAGTGTTTTATGCTTAGGCCGGCTTGTCTCACGATCTTAGAAAATTTCCTGTATGGATGGGATGACAGGCATACGCTGCTGCACCCAGATTTTTAGTGGCTGAGATAGTCTCATGAATGTTTTTCCCAGGCGAACTTGAAATTTCCAGTCTCTTCCTTCCAATCTCCTTCCCCTGAATAGCTAGGCTTATAGGCAGGAATCATTACACCCAGCCCAAGGTTGGTTCCTTTCCATTCAGATAGTGATCATGTTAGTCTGCCTATTTCACTGGATTGGTACAAGATCTATTAGGATAACTTGTATTAAAAATGTACACTGTGAAGAACTCAGATAAAAGCCATGAAGTGTTTATTTTGTGCAGTTCAGGTCGGAGGTGATAGGATTGGATTCTGGAGCCAGATTATTTGGGTTGCAAGTCTTGGCTTTGATTCTTTTTGCCCATTTGAAATGGGGACCTAAGCCTTTTCAGTCTAAGTTTTCTTGTCCATAAAAAACAAAATAAAGCTGGGCGCTGGTGGCTCACGCCTGTAATTCTAGCTACCCAGGAGGCTGAGATCTGAGGATTGCAGTTCAAAGGCAGCCTGGGCAGGAAAGTCCATGAGACTCTTATCTCCAATAAACCACTAGAAAACCGGAAGTGGCGCTGTGGCTCAAGCGGTAGAGTGCTCACCTTGAGCTGAAGAGTGCAGGGAAGCTGAAGATTGCCCAAGCCCAGAGTTCAAGCCCCATGAACGACCAAAAAAACAAAAACAAGAATGAAAAAACAAAACCAAAATAATAGCATTTACCTCATAGACCAAAGAAGCTAATATATATATATATATATATATATACAATGAGCTTAACACACATAGAAAAATTCATATATTGATGCTTTAAGCAGTATATATAAGTATAATTCTATATTCATCCCACAAACTCATGTTTGATTTTAAGCCACTAGTGACAGATAAATGAGACTATGTCTGAATTCAGCAATTACTAGTAAAACATCATTGGGCTGGTAGTGTCTCAGGGTTAGAACCAACCGATTAGCAAGTGTGAGGCCCCAAGTTCAAACCCCAGGACTGCTAAAGAAAAAAGATCAAGCCTGCCTCAGTAGCATCTTTCTCTGGCTATCTGGGCAATGAGCTACTCTGATCATTGCTGATCTAGTCAGATAAGGGGCAGATAGCACTGACTGTGTTCAGATTATGTCTCAAGGAAGCAATTCAATTCTGACTCTACATTTGAAACATCTGGGTCCCCCAGACCAATTGGATTTGAAAATGGGGGTGGGGTGGCACTCAGGTGTTAGACTGTAATACCCAGGCCCACTTGAAAATGACTGGCTTAGAATATTAGTATGCAGTGTATATTCACACTTTTTAGTTTCAAACGATGATAGGTAATTGTATCATGTTGAAATAAGTAAAACAATAGGACTATTTACGGATGTTTCTTTGAAAACAAACCTGTTGTTTCCACTAAATCTGTATCTGCTATGTGTGTGTGTTTGTGTGTCTGTGTGCGTTACTAAACAGAAATGAAAAAGTTTACATCAAATGATCACTGCTCTTATTATTGGCACAATAAAGGCTGCAAATATCAAATAAGAGTAGGGATTCAGAGGATGTAAAAAACGTGGAATTGATCATCCAGGGCATCCGGTGGGATGGGGCCACACAGAGCCAGACTCTGTATTTCGTAGCATATTCACTGTACCTGTGTGGCACACACAGCGGGCCCACGCCTGTAATCTTAGTTACTCAGGAGGCTGAGATGTGAGGATGACGGTTTGAAGCCATCCTGAGCAGGAAAGGCTGTGAGACTCTTCTCTCCAATTAACCATCAAAAAGGCAGAAATAAAAAGGACCCTCAAGGACAGTGCCCAAGCAGAAAGGGAAGGAAGGATGGAAGGGAGGGAGCAAGGGTGGGAAGGAAGGGAAGGAAGGAAAGAAGGAGGCAGGAAAGGAAGAAAGGGAGAGAAGAAAGAAAGGGAGGGAAAAGAAGGAAGAAAGGAAAAAGAAAGACGAAAGACCAATGGACCTTCTTCTTTGGACACAAAGAACAGAGCAGGAGAGATAGGTGGTCCTTTAATTTTATAGGCCTCTCCTAGAGGCTCTAAGAGACAAGGAGGAGGAGGGAGACAGACTCTACCATGGCTATCTTAAAAAGAAAAACCAGAGAAGTCTATCATTCCCCTCTGCTTCCTCCTATGCTACACATGGTGGCCTGGTAGGGTCCCAACTCAACACAAAGACGCACGCACAGGAACAGAGACAGCAGGAAAGAGAGAGCAGCCATCTGTGTCTTGTACCAGGGCTCACACGGAGGGTTCTAGAAGCTTCCATCCTGTGGCAATGAGAAGCTGGCTTCCTCCATGACTCTTATAACCAGCCCCATGGTTGACCTCACAGATGGAATGCCAGGCTTAGGAAAGGTCACGGGATCCACACAACCAACTCATGAAGCCAGCTCAGCAGAGACAGAGACAGGATCACAGAAGAGTGTGAGTGGCCGCTGTTCCCAGCAACCGAACCCATTGGCTCAGACAGGCCTGTGAAGGCCTCCACAGGCCCTGCCCTGCCTATCTGTAGCAGATGGTGTGGGAATCAGGCAAGAGACAGTGGCAAGTGTGTGCGTGCACACACGTGCATGCGTGTGGCGTGAAACAGTTGTCATTGCACAGGGCACATGGTCATCTCAGTTCTACAGAGAAGTGGAGGTGGGGTGGTGGGGTGGGGAGGGTTGGCTTCCTGTGCTGTTTTTCTGTTTTGGTTTGTTTTGTTCTTTGATGTGCTGGAGTTGATACTGACTTATTACAAGAAGCAGTGCACTTAGGATTAGAAATAGTGGTAGCTCGGTTGTGGGCTTTTTGTTTTGTTGTGTGTATTAGACTAGTTGCCTGGGTTTTCCTATCTAAATCTTAGGCTCCTCAACTAGATTTTGGAACTCATGAGGAAATAATGGTTTTCTGCTGATTAGTGTCATAACAATCATTTAACATTTGGGCAACGACTCTGCTGAATTTCAGTTAATTCGCATAAAAACAATGTATATGTGAGGAATCATTTTTTTCAACAGCGATCAAAAGTGCAATGCATAAAGTCATTTAGTTGGTAATTCAAGAGGTGTGTGTGTGTGTGTGTGTGTGTGTGTGCGCGCGCGCGCGCCAGTACTGAGGCTTGAACTTGGGCCTTGAATGCTGTCCCTTAGCTTTTTTTAAGGCTGATGCTCTTCCACTTGAGCAGCCCCCCGCTTCTGGCTTTCTGCTGGTTAATTGGAGAAAAGAGTCTCACAGACTTGTCTGCCCAGGCTGGCTTCGAACCCTCATCCCCAGATCTCAATCTCCTGAGTAGCTATGATTATAGGCACGTGCTACTCGTGCCCAGCTAGAGCTTGAGTTTTCAACTCAGTTTGACCTGCAGCCATTTTGTTTTTCTGAATTCCTTCTTCAGGACAAGAACAGAGCGACGTGTCTGCGGGGTGGGATACTGCCTGTAATGGGGTCAGCCAAGGAGCTATGTTGTCAAAGGAGCAGATGAAGGAGCTGGGTTCTTCAAAGCCCTCACTTCCCCCACGGTCTGCATTGCCTTGCATTACTGGATCACTGGAGAACTAGACAGGAGTCAGCCCTGCAGGAGGATTGGGCCTATTTGTGGGTCTTATGCCCTGAGATTATGGAAGATGACTGACACTGATAAAGCTGTGGTTCCAGGCCAACAGACACAAGTCAAGGAAGACTGGAAAGAACCCATGATGATATATTATGGAGGCCCATAATAGCTAGCCTTGGTTGGCAGGAGATACTATATTGTCAGCCCATGTGCTTGAGTTTGGGGGCTCCCCTGGCCTTAGTATGATAGAGGATCTATATAAATGCAGTGCCAACTTCAAGCTCAGTTGCCTGTGCTTAAGGAACATTTCCTTTAACTGTATTTGTAAACTACACACTTAACCCTGTCTGAGTGTGGAAGTCATTGCTTCCCACAAGAAGGAAGTTCCTTTTCAGAGCTTTGCTCCTTTCACAAACATGCGCTTTGTCGTGACTGGGAAAAGTCTAGTCTCGGAAAGAAAATGTCCTTTAGGAAAAAAAAAAAAGACATTTGTACACAGGTTATCCCAGGCTCCAGTGGCCCTGTGCATCTTAGTTTCTGCTTTCTTTAGAAAGCCTGTGTTTTGTGTCCAGAGCGAGTAGGAAGGAGAGTTGTTTGCTCCTTGGTACCTTGGCGGAGGTGTTAGCTTAGAGCTGTTAGAGGGAGTTAGCTTAGCTTGGGACTGCCAGGGGAGCCAGGGATGGAAAGGACTTCACTTGGGCTACCCTGGGCTGGATGTGTGCCACACCGACTGTGCCCAGGTCATCTTCTTTGTGGGTCTTATGGTTTTCTTGGTTCAGAGTTGCCATTTCTTTGCTTTGACAGAATGATATGTCATTCATCCTTTGAAGCAGGCATAAATAGGCCAGTCATGGTCCAGGTAAATGCCTGGGTTGAAAACAATACCCTAGCAAGTGCAAGGCCCTGAGTTCAAGGGGAAAAAAAAGGCACTCACTCTAAAGGACTCGAGGCTCGGAATTCATCTTTATCAACTGCATCTTAGTTAGAACTTTTCTACTTTTTAGAGGGACTACATTGGAGTAATTGATTAACTAAAGCTCATGAGATCATCAAGCTGTGGCAGTGTCTCGAATGTCAAAGGGTGTGTATTATACATTTCCCTACAACTCTTCCTGGGTTATAATGAACCAATGTTTAGTGTACTCTTTTGATGGATTTTCCCTACTTGATGGACAACAGGGTTTTTATTATTTAAGATAGTTGCTTTCTTGCTCTTGGGAAATCAGTCGGTTCTTATCATGACTTCTCACTGAAAAATCTGTGTTCTGGGTTGTTTGTGCTCCATTTATGGCTAAGTTTAAAAACCCCAAATCTCAGCCCTGCTGCCTGAGTAAGTCTGAAAATCATTTCTTGATCAAAAATTTTAAAAAAAACTATCTTGAACCATCATGAGATGGGCTAGATTATACAAGTCAGTCATGAGCTACTTAAGGGGGGAGGGGTGGTTGAAGATACTCAAGTCCTCCATAGGAGACATCAGAGGAAACAATTTCTTTGATACCAAGAAAGTCAGGCTGATTGCCCTTTGAGGCTGTGGGATCTGGACCCCCTGCTTCCGGTCCTACCTGAATCTCTCTATTGGTCATCTCTGATGTCAATTAACAATCCTGGGCCGGATCATCTGACAGAAAGCCTACTCTAAAGTTGAGGGAGTTAGGACTTGGCTCAGGTGGTCAAGTGCCAGCCAACGAGTGAAAACATCAGACCAAAAAAAAAAAAAAGAAAGTTGATTACTTTAACTCAATTTACTTTTGCCTTTCAGATCCTTCTTGAATGTTTTGCTAAAAGCTAAAACTTCAGTCGGTCATTACCTGACCCAGATTGTACATACTGGTCATGAAGAACCATCACCTGCGTGTCTGTTGTACATTCTTGCCCTCTGCTCCTCCAGGCTACCTGGCAGCCGATGGGTTTTTCATTGACCTCAGCAGCTGCTTCAGAAAAAATGAAAAAAAGCTTAAAAAGCCAGGAAATCCTGCCAAAGTACACATTGGGAAAGTTTGGGCCAATTGCAGAGTGTTTCATTAGTTGCTCTGGAGAAAACGCCTGGCCTGGTGCAAAAGGGGTGAAAATTCTGGGAGAGAATTCAGAAGCTCCCTGCCGGCCAGCGTGGGAATGGCACTGTTTTGCTGATCTCTCTATTCTTGTTTTATCCCATAGCCTCAGACCATACAGCAGACTCTCAAAAGGACGCTGCAATATTATGAGCATCAAGTGATTGGGTGAGTAGAAAATGGATTTTGGTCATTAAGGGAGACAAATTAGAGTGAATTTCCTCAAACACAGCTGGGGATCATGTGGTTATTCTGGTATCCTGAGCCTCCTTTTCACATAGGCAGAGTTCTCAAAGTGTGGGGTGGAGACAAAGGTGGGTCCCTTGGAGTGCTTCGCTTCGGTTTATGAATTCTTGTATGTGTGTTTGCACACACGTGTGAGAACATGCACCAGTCAGTCCTGGGCCTTGAATGCAGGGCCTGAGTGCTGTCTCACAGGTTTTTCCCTCAACACTTTGAACCACACCTCCACTTCTAGCTTTTTGGTAGTTAATTGGTGATAAGGGTCTCACAGACTTCACTGAAGGGCTGGCTTTACACTGTGATTCCCAGATCTCAGCCTCCTGAGTAAACTAGGATCACAGGCGTGAGCTACTGTTGCCTGAATAAATTTGATTCTATTAAGTGGCATCCCCTTTTAATATTGTTTTCCCCTCCCTTTTTGCTTTCTGTCCTTTAAAATTTCAAGATTGAATCTCAAAATTTTGCCTCATGATGGTTATAAGGGTTATCAGTCTTACTGGGGGCGGGCTATGAATGGGAGTCTGTAGTCATATAGAATTCAATTATAATAACACTTCAAGGATTATTACTAATGGAGCTACAGTCTTGTGCTGCTACCTATTTTCTTCATTTTCCCCCTATTTCTCCAAGTGCTTATCATAGAGTGTGAAGTCAGATTTAATGTCCAAAGATGGGAATTTAAAGTCTTATCAGCGCATAGAACTTTGTGTGTATGTCTATGTGTGTGATCATGGGGTTCAAACTCAGGGTTTTGTGCTGAGGAGTTTTGTACTTAAGGCTGGTACTCTACTACTTGGGCCATGCTTCCATTTCCCACTTTTTTGCTGGTTGGTTGAAGATAGGAGTCTCTCAAGTGTTCCTGCCACAGAGCTGTTTTTGAACCTTGATCTTCAGATCAAGTCTCTTAAGTAGACAGGATTATAAGCAGGAGCTACTGGCACATAGCTCATAGCTTAAGCGCACATAGAATTTTCAATAAGTAACTTTATTTCTTTTGTAAAATGTGATGATGGTGTTGATGATGATGATAATGATAACTCAATGGAGGTTTACATATCATGACTAAATAGGCTAATTTCAATGAAAGTACTTTGGGCTGACTCTAGTAGAAAATGGTGGACACATATAAAAGGCCTAAAGTTACTTTCTTGAATAACGTAGCTATAAAGATTAAATTCATTGACATTGAAGTCCATTTTAAAAAATTCACCTTGTTAGTGTTTTTTATGTGCATTTGTCTTTGTGGGGAATCAAGGTTCAAATTCTGGCTTGTCCTGAAATATCATCAAGAATCATTTTATACTCTGGGTAAGTCTTTGCCATGGACATCAGGAACATGGTTTAGGCTATGGCGATGTGACATGATTGGTAGTTGTTTTTTTTCATTTTTAAACAAAATTAAAGGGAAGGAAACCAATGGAAAGATAATTCCAGTACCTAGTACAATGCCAGATAACTGTAAGTGCTTGATGATTATGTTAATTGTCATTTCAAAGGGAATTGCTTTGAAACTTTGTCAGGCTAATTCTCAAGAGTGCAGTACTAGCAAAAACATACTATTTAAACTCATGAGATGGCTTTTAGTTTGAGGCCATTAGTGATTTCAAACGGTTTATCCTAATGGAGCTAAAGAATGTCAAATTAATCTTTCCCCACACATTCTAAAATAAAACTTAATCACTCTCATTGAGTTTGCTACTTTGAAAAGTATGGTGTATAGATCGCAGTAGATAATACACTTAGAGCTATTCCTACTGTGGGGACCCTCTGGCCTATTAACAAAATAAGACCCTCAAAATCACCCTGCCAAGGCAATGGTAGGCAGGACTCAAAAGTCAATAAATATGGGAGCTTTTTCATAGCAATATAAACACCAATACTAGCCATCATCACTTCCCAAATATCCCTTGACAAAAAATGTTCTCCATCTGATATATTCATTACTGAATATTTGTTTGCTCTTATGTTCACTCTTGTTGCCATTCATAATATTTTTAGGACAGCACCAGTCATTCAACTTAAATCATTTTTTTTTTTTTTGGGTCCGGTCGTGGGGCCTGAACTCTGGGCCTGGGCGCTGTCCTTCAGCTCTTCAGCTCAAGGCTAGTGCTCTACCACTTGAGCCACAGCCCACTTTCGGCTTTTTTTCTTTTTGCTTATGTGGTGCTGAGGAATCGAACCCAGGGCCTCAGGCATGCAAGGCAAGAGCTCTACCACTGAGCTACCTTCCCAGCCCCTCAACTTAAATCATTTTTCTGGGGTTATGAACATTCTTTCTACTTTGAGATCCAATAACTAAAGATATATTCTTATCTGTGAACTAAACTAAGTCTTCCAGGGTAATTGGGACTCCTTTTCATTTTCCTTTTGTCAGTACTGGGGTTTGAACCTGGGATCTCATGTTTGCTACACAGGTGCTTTGCCACTTGAGCCAGAACCCCAGCTCCTTTGGGGTATTGTTTATTTCTTGGAGAGAGTATTGCATTTTTTTTTCTTGGAGCTAGCTCCAACTACTCTCTTCCTACCTGTGCCTCTTTGTAGCTAGGATTACAGGCGTAAACTACACACCTGATTTGTTGGTTGAGGGAAGGTCTTGCTGTTTTCTCTGGCTGGCTTTAAACTGAGATCCTCTTGATCTCTGCCTCCCAAGTAGCTGGGATTACAGGTGTGTGTCATCAGACTGCGCTATAGTGGATGACTGAAATAAATAGATCACCAACCTGTATTATGATAATTAGCAGAGCGGTTGCCTCAACTTTGCTGCTCTCTGTGTAGACATGGTCTGTGGCAGTTTTTGTTCTGAAAGTTTCTTCCCTGGTTTTGCTCATGGCAAGCACAGCAAAAAGAGTAAGGGTTATTTGACTCTAGTATAAGGAGGTATCTCCATGTCCCATTGGATCCAGATAGGCCTAGGAGCCTATTTTTGGGGTGTTGGCTAACTTCCTGGGGTCTAGGAACCTTCATTCACTGCTTTTATTTGCCTTGGCTCTGCGTTCTATGTCTCTTTAAAAACTGAAAAAGCAGAGCAACTAATGTCACTAACACCTCAACTAAAAGGTGTTCACACCTATATGTTTTTCCTCTGAAGAAAAGACAATTTAAGGCTTTTTAATCTCCGTGATAAGGAATGTGTTTCCTTACAGTTAGGGGATTTCAGGCAATGGAGAGTAAGTGCTGATAAACATGATCTGTCTTATTTGTAGAGGTGTGTGTGGGGAGGGAGTAGTGTGAAGCAGATGTTTTCCTATTTCTGACATTGGGTTTTGCCTAAGGCCTGTCTTAAAACAGTTCATCTTAGGTATTGTATGGAGTCAGGACAGGTAACAGAGTAACTGAGCTAGCCCTCCTCTTTTTTTATTTAACAAATTTTATTGTAAAGGTAACGTACGGAGGGGTTGTAGCCCTTCTCTTTTTGAATTTCTTAATTTACACCCTTCAACCATGGGCCTTCCCTAGTTTCCATTCCTTTCCCCAAACTTGCCCTTAGATCCAATTTCTCTGTCAGAGCTCTAGCATAGTGTCCTAAGCTTCTAAGCTATTCAAAGGCTCCCAGAGAGAGGATTGGGAGGGAGTAAAATAACCTCTCTTTGCCTCATCTTCATTGTCTTTAAACATTCATTCTACTCCTTAATTTATGCACTTACTCATTTATGTATTCACAGACATCACTTGCATTGGGGAATAGAGTCCTAGAATCATTTATTCATGCTCTGTGATCCGTCTCCTCATCTCTACGGGGATCTTCATCTCTCATGGAGTTGTAAAATTCATAGTTGTGGTACTGCCACCATCCCGCCACCTCTTTTTTTTTGAAAGTCCTGAGGCTTGAACTGGGGGCATGGGCTCTGTCCCTGAGCTTCTTTGGCTCAAGGTTAGCACTCTATCACTTGAGCCACAGTGGTACTTCTGGCTTTTTTCTGAGTAGTTTGTTGGAGATGAGAGTCTCATGGACTTTCCTGCCTGGGCTGGCTTCAACCATGAACCTCAGATCTTGGTCTCCTGAGTAGCTGGGATTACAGGCCTGAGCCACCAGCACCCGACAAGAGCTTTTAGTTACCTTTGTCTTCCATATATCCTTAATATGCTACCTTTGTGTGTGAGACTGATCTTATAGTACACAAGGTTGTGGTGTGTAGCACATTGGTGCCAACGTTGGCATCTTGTTCGTGTAGCTGTCTTCATCCCTTAACTAGAGACAAGAAAAGGTGCAGGTTATTTTTTGGTTTGTTAGACTGTACTAGTGTTTGAACTCAAGATCTCACACTTGCTTGGGTTGACTTGGTTGGTGATGTGCTACTATTTGAAACACAGCTCTAGCACAGCTTTTAGCTGGTTAGTCTCACAGACTTTTCTGCCCAAGCTACCTTCTAACTCTGGTAGTTACAGCTGGGTACCAGTGACTCATGCTTTTTAATTCTAGACGTTCAGGAGGCTGAACTCTGAGGATCATGGTTTGAAGCCACCCTGGTCAGGAAAAGTCTGTAAGATTCTTAACTCCAACCAGCAAAAAAGCTGGAATGTGAGGTATGGCTCAACTGGTAGGATGCCAGCCTTGAGTAAAAAGACTGAGGGATAGAGTTCAGGTCCTGAGTTCAAGCTCCAAGACCAACACACACACAAAAAGAGTGGGGTAGAACAACAGGGTTAGAGTAAAGTTTCAATGAAACCTTAAGGACATGACTAAGATAATCATGCTTTATCATTACTAGGCTTTATGAGCATGCTTCATAATCAAGTAAACAACTTATTACAGTTCCCACTACAACTAAGAATGCAACAATTGCTGGTTGCATTCTTAACCCCATGTTTGGTACCTATTTGGCACTGTCGTTTTGAACTTATTGTCTTTCTCTTTCTCTTCTTGCTTTCTTTTCTCTCTTTTTCTTGGCTGTCTAGAATTTAGTTGTTTAACTTCAGTAGCTGGACATAGCTAGTTCGTGTTACAGCTATTTTTCTCCCTGCTAATTACTTTCACTTTTGATTATTTATTTTCAATCTCAATTTTTGTCCTCTGAGTGCCTGACTTAACTTCTCTACTCACATTTACATTGCCTGATTCCTATTGGCCTGTGGTACATGACTGTGCTACTGTGACAGAGCAGTGTAGATGGATTTCCTTAGTAAGCAGCCTTGGGAAACACATGATAATCAGTATTGCTGAGATCGCTTGCTCATCCATTAGCTAACTTAACCAATACAGCTTAAAGAATGCGAATCTGGACTCTGCCTCATCGTTGTGTTAGGAACTGGGTGTGGGCTTGGTGGTGCATATCTATGATCCCAGCACACCTGAGACAGAGGATTGTGAGTTCCAGGCCAGCCTGGGCTACATAACAAGACCCTGGTCTCAATACCATCAAGAAGAAGAAAATGAGAGTAGTGTTTCCTGTAGTCATTTGAAATTATATTCTACCACTCTGATTATCACTGTGGGTTCAATGTTTGTTTTACACAGCCAACCTTCTGTTCTCCTTTTCCCTTTGACAATGCATGAGGAATGAAACCAAAATAATCCCAATAGAATGTTGGAAGTGCAATTAAGAGTGGGCGAGACCTGGTTAGTTTGGAAACAAACTTCAGATAGATTGCTTAGGCTCCCATGATCAGATTTTTTTTTTTGACTGTAAATTATTTCTTCTAAATTAGCTTCTCTTCCATCTATTTACAGTAAAGAACTATATATTTTTTGAACAATAACAAGTTAGACTGGTACATTATCCGCTGCTTAACTGTGTTTGAAGAAATATTGCTGAGTATACTACCTGCCTATTTTAATTCTATGCAGGCAGTTGATAGGTCAATTGCAGAGAGCTGACATTATAGATAAGGACAGGGAGGATGGCAGCAAAAATAAATGTTATACAAGGTCTTGGAAAGGTATGTTTTCTTACGAGGCATTTTAAAGTGTAATTACTCTCAAAGTGTAGATATCCACAGGTTATGTATGCTTGGTTAGATGTATGAGTGCATTTGCAAATACTTTCAAAAATGTCTCCATCTGCTGATTTTTACTTTCCTCTTAGTTATAGGGATGCTGAGAAGAACTTCCACAATATCGCTAACAGATGCTCCTATTCGGACCATTCCAACAAAGAGGAAGTTGAAGACGTCTCAGGAATTCTCCAGTGTACCGCGAATATACTCGGTATTTTAACTATGTGTGTGTCTGGTTGGCAGAGGATGGGAAAGAGGGGAGGGGAAGAGGAAGGGCATCAGCGGTTTATTTTCTGTTTGGGTGATTTGAAGAGCTGTGGCAAATGGAGACGCAATCCTTGTCTTTACGTACTTTAACTCTGCTCAAGACTTTTGAGCGCAAGTTACTATGCTTGCCATTTTCCTGCAGATGGAAAAAAAAGCAACAACATTAGAACAGAAATATTTACTTTCCTAGCTGTTCATCCGTGAGTGCTCTTTGCTTCTTATTATCTGAATTTCTCTGGCCCTAACTCTGAGCTGAAAAGATCTCATTTGCCTCTTAAAGTCATACCCTGTTATTTCTGGGAGACCCTGGGTTAAAGCTGAACTTGTGGTGGATTTTACAGTTCAGAGGTCCCTTTCTTGACCATCATTGAAATTTCTACTGAATTGCCCTGCCTGGGTCTGGAGAAATGTGCATATTGGAGATACAAGTAGGCATCTTCTAGTTTTTGTTTTTGTTTTTGTTCCAACAAGGTGGAAAGTACTGTTCTAAGTGGCACTGAATTCTGCAACCTTAAGACAACTGAGCCATCCTGTGGTACTATCTGAAGGTCTTGGGGTGTGAGAGCTGTACTGAATTCCATGCAGCATTGATTCTCATGTGCCTTCCAGGACAGAAACTATAGAAAGCCATCTCAATTTAAGGATGATGTAGCAGGAATACTTTCTGCCCTAGTACCTCACAGCTTTTCTGTTTAAAAATACCTCTTTGTTTGCAGTTCTTTTGGGGATCTTCCTTTTTTTTTGTCCTGACTCTGATAGGAGTCCAGGGGTGCTGGTGTAGATGGGAGCGTGGCAGTTCTGAGTGGCTGGCTCTGTATAGAAAGCCGTGTCACGCGTCCTTCAGATCAGGTGATGGGTGGCAGGGTTTATTTTCCTGTATGGAAAATACTTTTCTCTGGAGATATCAAGTCCTTTCTACCAATAAGTGCTAGGTGAGCTCAACCCATCCATCTCCAGAGTGGTCTAAGTCTGTGATTTCCACTTATCTTTGGAGAGCGTCGGTAGAAAACTGAAGGATTGAAATGAATGACTTCTTTCATCTACTTCTTAACCTCATACTGGGTTGCCCTAGAGCCTGGAAACCTGTTTGCTTGTTTCTGCACTTAAGTATTTCTTATGCTTTAGTTACCACCCCAAAGACTGGAAGACCTCAGTCAGAAAATAACACAGTCGCAAATGTTTCTTTTCCCAAAAGGACCATTTCTGACTACTTGGTGCAAGGTTTTACAGGATTTGGGGTTGAAACTTGAGTTTAGGCTCACCAGAGTGGTTCATGCTTCTCTTTTTAGGAGTTTAGAAAATGGTTGTGTATATTTTCCTATGTTTTCAAATTAGGAATATCAAATGTAGTCTGCTTCTTGCCTTCTCGTCATCTCTTTCAGTTGCCCTGGTAATGTAGCCCATTGCTCTAAAGGGGCCTTTAGCTTTAGCTGGGGAAAAGACGATGTGAACGAAGTCAGCTATAAGCAAGGCCCTTCCTGCTGGCAGGTTTTAGTGTTAAAGTTATTGCATTATTTGCTTCATAATGCCTTTTGCTTACTCAAACGATCTAACTCTAGCCACCTGAGAAATACAAACCTGTTTTTTAAAAGCTACAATATGAAATGTCTGTTTCTAGCTCATATTAGTGAAAACTGTGTTTATATTTCTGTAAAGCATGACATTTTGCATTCTTGTGGAAAGTGTCATGGTTGAATGGTTTGATGAACTAGGTTTTCAAGGATCTATATTATGTTTGCTGCAGAAATCTTGCTGCTTGGCCCCAGTGCTTGGTGTTAAGTGGTATAGGACAGGGGAGAAAGGGAATGAGAATTAAGAACCACACTCTCTTCTTTGCCATCGTGAGTTAAAATAGAAACGTAGTTATGACTGTTTCAGTTTCAACAAGTTTTGATGCTATTAAGAGGGATGTGGGTGTTTGTGCTAGAGAGCTGCAAGAGTTATGGGATGGGGGAGGTGACATCGGAAAAGAACATTGATCATAGGTCACAGATCAGGCAGTCTGAACGTATTTCCCAACAGAAGCGTTGTTATTTTTACTATGTATCTGCTAAGTATTGCATGAAACCTTTGTTTATCCTGTGCTGGTTAAGCGCATTTTTCTCTCCCAGTAATCAAGAAGGGCATGAGTCGGGAAAGGACATTGGTTAACAGTTTCTCTATTTCGAAGGTTTCTCTCAGGTTTGATGTTTAAGGTTTCAATGTTTTGTCTTCTTCAAAAAGTTAACACATTTAAAGTCAGGACGGAACCATGCTATCAAGGGATTGCTTTGTTTGGAAAGCTCTAGAGAGGCTGAAGGAGGCACTGATCTTTGGGCCTCACACCTGCCAGTGTTTTCTGAAATGCTGTGAAATTGTAGCTTGTTATTTATTTATTTATTTTTAAAAAAGGACCACAGATTCTGAAGTCTAGCTGCCATCAAACTTGCAGTGTTGTTTATTTTTATTTTTATGTTTATTTTTAATCAGTAACAGTGGATAGTATATACATCTTCATGTACATACTTGTTCTTTCTTTGTGAATTTTGGATGTCCACTTAGGAGCCTTCTCGTTGGAAAGATCTGAACAAGCCTTTGATTAAAATGTGGGGAACCAAACTCAATTCTACAACGGTGCCTTTCCTCATTTCTTGCTCAACTTTCTTTTCTGATGGGCTGAGGGTATTCAGTGGTCAAGTGCCATGTTTATCTTTTTGTTTTTTTGAATGATCAAATCTTTGATAGAAAATGGCTTAATATTGTCATATAACCCATTTACATGCTCCCATCTACATTATAACATTGCTAGATTACTTATAACGTTGGATGAAAGCTGCAGAAATAACAGAACTTTTCAATAGCAATAATTAGAGAAGACATGTTTCTCATTTTGAATCCTGCCAGCAAGGGCAAATTGCCTGGATAGATAGGTATCTTAAAAGATAGGCATCTTGAAAGACAAAGTGAGGCTGAAGATCTGTGCAAGGGAACTACAGACAAAGACAGGCCAGTGCCAAGTGATCCTATTGGATCCTAGACCAGGGGAAAATTTGCATGTTTTGGGGACATTACATGAAATACGAATATAAACTGAGTATTAGAGGATAGCATTGTATGAAAAAGCACTGACACATTTAGAGGTGTGTGTGTGTGTGTGTGTGTGTGTGTGTGTGTGCTTTTTTTTTTTTTTTACAAATTGGTGAAACTTGGGAAAGGAATATGGGAATTAAAAAAGTTCCTGCAACTTATCTCTAAGTCTGATATTTCAAAAAAAACCACAAACTGTGGGATACAGTTAAACTTAAAAATAGATGATAAGTCCCAACGTACTTTTGTTTCTATCCGGTTGTAGTCTCAATTTAAAAAAGTGAAACAATACTATAGAAAACTAAAATAGCAAAATAGGTTTGTGATTTGGCAGTCTACTTGTATACTTTCGTGCCTTTTGCTTTTCTGAGCGTCTATAATCGGTGTCTAGATCAGATCCCATTGGATAGGGTTGAAAGCATGAGCGACATCAAGTTTTATGGTTCACTTGTGACTTGATGTAGTGATGTGACAGACATCAAGCTTTGTGGTTCACTTGTGACTTGATTTAGTGATGTGGATCGTGGAAATGAGATTGATGTAGTGGTGATGATTCTACCATTTTCCTAATATTCTATCAGAAGAGCCGGTTGGCTCATCCATGTTCTAGACTGTATATTTTTTTCAACTTAGAAAATTCTGTGTCCAGCTAGGCACTGGTGGCTCAGGCCTGTAATTCTAGCTACTCAGGAGGCTGAAATCTGAGGATCATGATTTGAAGCAAACTGAGGCAGGAAAGTCTGTAAGATTCTTACCTCCAATAAACTACTCAGAAAAAGCCAGAAGTAGTGCTGTGGCTCAGGTGGTAGAGCACTAGCTTTGTGCACAAAGAGGCCCAGTGCCCTAAATTCAAGCCCCAGGACCAGGGAAAAGAAAAGAAAAAGAAAAAGCTGTGTAATAATGAATATACATACATCAGAATAAAATAAAAATAAAACGGTAGACAACCTCTGTTGCCTAAGTTTTCTGTTTTCTTGATCAGATAGTGACAGTCACACTAGGATTTCAAAGTTTTTTCCTCAGAATCCTTTTACTATTAGATAATTTTCGGCTTCCCTAATACTTGGTGTGATTTGCAAAGCCTCATCAATCATTGACATATTCTCCTCTGTAGATTCTGATTTTTTTTTGGATTGCTTTTCTGACATTTTAAATACCAGGGTAGATTATTTTTCATAGCCTGCCATCAGTCATTAGATAGCATTGCCATGTGCTATAAAAGTGCTTCTATATTTAGTAGGAGTGCTTTGTTCGTTTCCTTACAGCAGTGAGCAAGTATGGTTAGTTCAGTAGAATTTTCACTTGAAGAGGGACATCATGCTAAGTAGTTGTTGAGAGGTTAAATCTAATTGAAGGGTATGTAAAACGAACTATTTAGAAGATGACAAATACCTCTGTTACGATATGGATAGTTAAAATGATTCCCAGCACCCAGATATAAAACTGAAGGACCTACAACAGAGATTTGTATTAGTAAGTCATCCTTAGATTTCAAACTTAATATATGCACAGGTAAATGTCTCAGATCCACTCAATTCTCCTCGCCTCTCTCCCCTCCCACCTCAATACTTTGATGTGACCTGGGACCTCACCATCCTAACCCTGTGGTAACAAAAATTTTAATTAGATAATGAAGTGAATATAGCCTAGACAACCAGGAGACAGACCTAATAATAGCCATAATCACAGATCATTATTTCCCCCTCTCACCTTTGTATAAATCTTAGACAAATAGGATTTGTGGGATAGACTAAATGATATTTACACCTGGGGACTTGATTGAGGTTGGCCTTATTTGTGTCTTAGGTAAGTTCTGAATAGTGACACAAGGATGCTAATGATAGGTTGTACTGTAGGGTAGGTCTACAGACAGCAGAG